GGGTATTTGCCTCACTTTTACCGAGTCCTCACCAGCGTCAAGGAGTCTGTCAATTAGACCCTGTAAAAACTCGACATCGTGATCGTAGCGCACTTGGGGTGATGGATCACTGGACTCTGGTGCGTGAAAGATCATGAAATTATAACGCCTATGGTCGGGCAAGGTTGACCTTGCAGGGGGAAGTATATCTGCACATGGTTATGAGTAGACAACTTTAATGTCATCAGCAAAGATAAATGCAACACCATTTCTTATTCTCTGGAGTATATCGTTAATATGAATTAGAAAAAGAAGAGGACCAAGAACACTCCCTTGAATTACTCCACTAGTGATTGCTTTCGATTTAGAGAAATGGTCGCCTATGCGCAGAACCTGTTGTTTACCAATTAGATATGAAGACAGCCAAGAGAACCTCGGTTCTCCAATGCCTATAGCCTTTAGTTTGTTTAGTAACCTTCTATGAGGAACTCTATCCAAGGCTTTTTGCATATCCAATCCGTTGTCAATGGCAGTCGTTGTGTGATTTAAAAAGTCAGTCTGGCGTGTTGCGCAGGATCGACCTTGCATGAAGCCGTGTTGCGAGTTGCTGATGATGTTAGCCTTGTTCAAGAATATAAATAGTTCATCTTTCACTATCCTTTCCATTATTCTAGATACGATGGGTGTGTGATTGATGGGACGAAGTTTTTAACCTCGTGGGCAGCATCATTTTTATGTCGCGGGATAACGACAGAAGTTTTCCATTGAGTGGGGTTTACTACGTTGTCAAAAGAGTGTAAAGATGTTGGGTAAGAGCAGAAGGAAGTCACTACCACTGCTTTTATTAAACATGGGGGATCCCATCAAGGTTTGCGCACGTTGAGGAGTATGAGTGAGCGACTTGACTAGTGATCTTCGCTATAGTGAATTGCACTGTGTATAGACCTTAATTATTGTGCGGCATGATAAGTGTTAGTGTGTCTGATGATTCAGTGAGCATTGATTCGGCAAAATAAGCACTGAAAGCTTCGCAGATACCAACTGGTGCGTCGTAGTATGTTTCATCAGGCGTGGTGATAAAGTTGAGATTGTCGCTGCAACGCGAATCCCGGGCACGGAATAGTTTGGCTAGATCAGCTGTTTTGCTAGGACCGTTCAGAGCCTTATACTCTTCTAGAATGAGAGTTTTGTCACGTTGATGCCTCTGTTCTTCGACGAGCTTCGACTGCTGTAATAATAGCGCAAAGTCAGCAGTTAACTTGAATTTCTGACGAATCCTATAAAGCTTTCGCCCTGCCTTCAATGCCTTGCGATCGGATTTTGGTTTCTTTGGTAAGCACATTCTAGTGGCATTGCTGAATCGATGCAGTAGCTAATTATGCTATAAAACAGGTCCGTCGCATGTTGAGGACATGAAGAGAGAATTTATCCCAATTCATCGAACGAACCAGGTACTTGAATGAGTCCTGGTTGACAGAACTGAACAGACGATAATGCTTTGTTTTCCGTACATCGGCCATGCGTAGTCTTAGACAGCATTTGATTACGCGATGATCGCTCCCCGGAAATTCATCAAGAACGTTAATACTGATTGCAGGTATGCCCAATGAAAAAATGAGATCCAGCGTACTTTCGCCTCTGGTAGGTCGAGAGACTTGTTGCCGCCAACCATTCATATGGATACAGGAGATAAGATTGTGGTATTTCAAAGGAGCGGTTCCTATGGGCCATGAAATCGAAGGCAGATTGAAATCACCTCCAATAAGCTTACGTAAAAATGGTAGGCCAGCGGCGCATTCAAATGCAAGCGTCAAAAGTTCTAGGTCTTCTTGACTGCCGTTTGGCGCGTTGTATATACATCCCATAAGCATCTGTTGCTGATTAACAGATATCGTCAGCCAGAGTGATTCCTGAAGATTGTTCAACACTGGGTTATCGAATGTTGCTGCTGTGAGCGAGTTTTTTAGATAAATTACGCAGCCACCACCTTGACGACCAGGCCGATTCCTCATAAACTTGTTATATCCGAAAATAGTTAACTGAGTGTCAGACATGCCATCATGGCACCAAGATTCAGTTATAAATAATATATCAGGATTATTCACCAAAATAAACGAGCGTAGGGTGTGAATCTTAGAGTAAAGAGAGCGAATGTTTATCAAAAATACTGAGATAAATGTGAGATATGAGGAAGATTCTTTAGAGTGTGTTATAAACACTGGGGTTTCAAGCCGTGTGCCTGGACCCAGATTAGAAATTGTTGAAAAAGTGCGCGTATTGCCAACAGCAGAAAATGATTTGGAGGTGACCACAGCGGAGGGGATTGAGACTGAGTATGGCCCTCTAGAAAATGGTTCGAGGGAAAAAGTCTATGATTACTGCAATAGGCTGTGGGAGCTGGAGAGTTAGGTTGTATCCTCTGCATCATGTCGCTAATAGGCTGTTGATTACGTAACGCATTGATAAGAGTCAGTGGGTTGCTGTTATTTCCATCTATGGGTAAAATCCGCTTACTTGCGCTCGAGATACAAGGATTCATTATACGCGGTGGAGGCACACTGGTGTCAATCCATACACCAACATCAGCATAATCCATGTAAGTATTGAGTGTGAACGTGAGCTTGACGTGAATAGCCGTCTATAATTTCGAAGAATTTAACAAAAATGGATGCAAGTTATACGCAATCAAAAAACATTTACTCGCTTATTGTTCACTGCTACTACTAATTTACAAGAAGGAATACTCTGAGATGGGAAGTTAAGAAGTTATTAGCAATAGTATGGTACGTGCCTTTCACGCCAAATTTAGCACTATTGGTGGCATATGAAGGACACCGTATTTAGGTTCATCGTCCTATAAATGGAATTCCTGAGCACAGAGTTCAGTTCCAGAGCCCTTACACCAAGACCAACTGTCAGCAGCTGACGAGCAAATGGTCTCATTCAAAGAGACGTCCAGCCTGAAGCAATATATTCCCAAGAAAACATACAAATCGGAATACAAGATATTTATGCCTTGTGCATTTGTTTGATATATTTACGGGAAAAATTGGTCCTGTTCCTCCTAGACCTAACATCGGTGCAAGTGGAAAGCTCGTTATAAAACTTTTATAAGTTATTCGGGCTAAAGACAACACTACTATATTTTGATAACCTTTTTTCTTCTTGCCTTGGGTTGCGCCGTAACGGCGCTTCGCTGCCGCGCAACCACCACCAGTCGCGCGCGGGCTGAGTATACCGCGAGGACGCCCACCCCTACGCGGATTCGAACCGGTGACCTTATGGTTGCAAGGCAAACGTGCAGACCACTCGGCCACCAGCCGACCAACCAGTTTGTAATGTTCAAAGATAGGACAGAAAACTGAAAGTATAACTGTGGAGTGTCCAGGTATCATCAGTCCGTATAATAAGTTCATGGGCATTGTTGATGCTTTGGATGCCTTGATTGCTTATTATCGGATCCATATCAAGTCCCGAAAATACTACTACAAGCTTTTTCATTTTGTCGTATCGTATCAGCCAACAGCTAGTTATTCTATCGAGGTGATTGCGACTCACTGGCTGAGCTTCTACAGAAACAGAAATACTTGTTTGCTGTCAGGTTACCTATTGCAGAGACACCGCATGCAAGGCAAAGAACTGTCCAAGAGAAAGAAGTGACGGTCTTCATCATCAATTGAAACGGAGTCCAAATGAACGAAGCGCCGGGGTCCAGCTAGGGTTATTCCATCTTTGGAAATCCGGTCAGATTCTGTGGGTCAATGGCCAGTGGTTGGTAGTGCACGGCAACGAAGTAAACGATCAAATTGCCAGGGCCAGACAGTGATCAAGTGCACAAAGTGCAATGCGCATCTGTGTTTCAGGAAGAAGAACTGCTTTGGAGAATTTCACAAGTAACAGTGCTTCGCCTTATTTGAATTTCCTTGATTGTTACGATATATTTGTTGTAATTGGGATGGTGGACTGAAGGAACCAACTCATTGCTGCATCAATAAAACAATTAAATGGTTGAGACGGGAAAACTTGTTCAGTAGCTATTACGCCCATTTGTGTCGGATGTCGCGATCTTGTATCATACCTAAATTTACACTTAAAGTGTTTTACAAGCAAAGTAACTATCTCATTTAAATTAGCATCCACACGTTAGTGAAATCACAAATAAGTAATTTATTAAACATGGTAAAAAATAAATTCGACTAGAAGGGGTTAAATGTTGATGTGACTATCGAAGAGCGGAAAATAAATGAAGCCTTGTACCATAGTATTTTACAATCTCCAAAGTGTCCTAATAAGAAGATAAATGGTGTCTTCAGGATGGCTCGGAGACTATTCGATTAAAATACGGATAATAATGTGATGCCCAAACGGGTGTTGACCGTTTAAGGGGGAAGCGGATGGAAGTAGGGTATCCGGAAAAGCCCGACTGAAACTTCATGAGTACAGGAAACAAAAATACATTTCAGTAAACTGTTCGCCACAAACATTGCTCTAAGGAAGACGGTCGGAATGATCCCCTTATGCGAAGCGCACAGGAGAGTAGGGCGATCTGGCAGATCATGGGTACATTTCGAAGGTGTACTGCAAATAGATCGGTTTAGTCAGAGTGCATGTGTGGAGAACGTATGGCGTCAATCAAGCAGCGTGTGAGATGCGGCACCTTTCTGTCCAGTTTTAGGCTAAGGACAGTGGCAAACAAAAATTCTTCTAATTATTTTTGGCGGCGGGTATAAACAGGCTCATAATAACAAAGAAACAAGCCTAAACAGTGGATTTACACCCGACACAACAAGCAGCTTAGTGTGGAATGCGTACCTAAATGGGTCCACAGTTTAATCGGCACTACGCATATTGTTATGGATTTAAAGTACGAAATTATCAAACAACTAAAAGTTAAGAGTCCGATTGATGTGTTCGAATACGATAACTGTATGACGGTTCACTGTGTCATAAGATGATCAAGTTATTGTCAAAATGATAGGATCATGTCAACAAACAAATAGGTTATTGCAAAGTATAAATACCTTGTGCAGTCCTCGAGTAAACAGAGTATCTAGATTGCGATCCAACCAGCGGAAAAATGGTTGTAAATACAACTCAGTAAGGTTTGAATCGAGGATTTGACGGTGTTTGTTGGCGATCCAAGATCCGATAGCCATATTCAATTGTCTACGAGGGAAGCAATCGAATCAGCGATGAAGGAAAGTGAATTTACTCAAGAAGCAGCTGAGGTAATTGTCCGTTATCAAGTACAGAAATCTTTAACGGTTTCGATGGGTACAAGTTATTGATGTGGACGGTTAGATGGAATTCCCGAACACTGTGGGCCTTGAGGAATGCGCAAGGGAGAGAGAAAGAACGGAATTATTATTGGTTTGGGATTGTAAATAGTAAGTAGTCTTTCAAGCGCTGAACTAAGACCCACGTCACTCCTACAGCAAGTAATTTTCCCCCACGGTTACAGTAACAAGACATTAAGCGGTTCCATAATACCCGGCACTTCATGGGTAGTTGAACACCAGTAGCGCTGAGGCAAAAAAGGGAAGGCATGTACAGATGGAGAACGGTTGTAATCAACTTGTTACTCGAAATTCACAAATTTTAGTAGTGTACGCCTAACGTGCCGTGAATGGTCCAGTAAGGTCTAGTGAAATGAATAGAATAGAACAGAGGGTAGTTAGATTACCTCTCACTGTCTGTGAAATGTGCCATATACGGAAGCCTAACCCAAATTGCTGCACATCACCCGATCCCAGCTATCCCCTGATCCAAACACGATTGTGCCACTGACAAGACAATCATCAGCGAGTTAACCATTAATGAACCGCATATCTCAGTCATTACGGGACACATGTCGACTCGAATTTTGATCTCGTTGTATCAATACCATCCCGTCATTTGCACGAGCCAGTGTTTTATCCCCCTACTTGGAGTCATCATCATCAACAGCAGTACCTCAGCCATTTGAACCGCTGCTTCGCTGCCATACAAGCATGAGGACCTATGAAATAAAGAATAAGAAGAGGAGAGAAAGAAGATTTACCTGAAAAGCTTGATGCCCTAAGCAACATTCAGGTTCAAAACACCTACACCTTGTGTAGACAACATACCGTCACAAGCAGCTGGCTATCGTACAAACATAAGGCGACATCGGCGAGACAGCTTCCTTGCGGCTTTCACTGTGCCGCGTCATAATCAACCATTACCCCGAAGATAACTCAGCACCATGGTTAGCGGCATCCGGTTTCGGATTTGCCTGTCACTGTGGCCAGCCACAGGACGCCTGCGCCTACAGAGGGACCATGGATGGCTTGCGCTGCACCACCCACAGCTCCAACCACATATCCCATATCCAGTGTAAACCCGAAGGAATAAGACCGGGAGGCATGTGGATGGAAGCCACGTTTCATCAACGGAACCGGTCCACACTCCTTCACAGGAAAACACAAGCAGATTGCATTTGGGGAATCAAGCGCACACAAGGCGGTGGCTGGACCGTAGTCCGCTCCACATTGAGTGCATGGAACCACTCTTAGAGCCTAGCACGGCCACAAGGACCGTGCACCCTGTCCCCTACAGCAACGACCAACTGTCTCCTGGAGCCAGTAAGGACGAGGTAGTGGGTAATAGACAGGCAGGTACCTTGTCAACATGCACATCATGCAGATAACTCAGCACCAAACACATTTTAAAAAGGCAATCTGAATAGGAGACGGCAGCAGACACGCCACTGGTGTCCACTGCGAGCCATGTCCTGTAAAGTCCCGGGCCAAGCACAAGGCGAGTCATGTGGACTCCAGCCCGGAAGGCGAGACGGACCAACGGCACTCAGTTTGGTCGTCAGTGCTTCATTTCCCGCTGCCTAGTCAACTTCTGTCCACCTCGAGCCTTGCACCACCCTACACCTAGCAAACTAAACAAGGCCCCCCTAGGTAAGCGGTGACCAGGCATACGTAGCACGTGCCCGAGCCAACGCAACTTAGTTAGTGCTATGTGGTGTTCTAGGGAGCTAGCATGATTATCACTACCTAGTACTCGCCTACGAACACCATCGTTGGGGACACGCTGGTGCCATGCGATACCAGCAATGCTCCGCAGACAACAATGATCAAAGACTTGAAGGCGCCTCAGATCTTCAGACGGAAGGGACCAAGTCTCACTACCATAGAGCAGAACGGCCCTCACTGTGACCTTGTATACACAGCCTTTCAGACGGAGGGAAACTCCCTTCTATCGCCAAAGATCTCGCAGGTTCAAGTAGGCAGGTCTTTCCTTTGCGATGCGTGAGCTGACGTCAGTTTTATGCGCCCATCGTTGCTGATGCATCCGCCGAGATAAGTTAAAAGATCAACCACCTTAAGTTCCTGGTTAGCAAAGGTCAAGGAGTCATCAAGTGGCTGGTGGTCCTGCAGCAACACTTTGCACTTTGAAGGCGTGAAGTGCATGCAGAATGATGGAACCACTCTGGACAGGCTATTCAGGGTTGATTGTGCCGCCGCAACACCGTCGAAAAGCAAGACGATATCGTCCGCATAATCTAGGTCAACTAACCTTCCACCAGGAAGCAATTCAACGCCTACATCGTGAGATTCCGCAACGGAACATTCCATGATAGAATCCAAGAGGAAAATGAACTGTGTATATATTGCCACTTGTGTATGTGTATATTGCCATTATAATCGATTCGCTCCAATCAGCCGGGACACTCTCTTCCTTCCAGATACGTTTGAACAGAGGTCAGTGCCCTGCAGAGGACCTCAGCCCAATCTTTAAATTGCGCAGATGGGAGAGAATCCGGGCCAGCGGCAAGAAAACGATTGGGGGCTGTAATCGCGTTTCGGACCTCGGCCTCCGACGGGGGCTCTAAACTAACCGTCCATGGCTCGTCCTGCATCACCTGAGTAGGAAGAGGTCCGGGAAAAGGAGGCCAGCTGAACTGATCTTGAAAGTGTTCCGCCCAACGAGCCACACGGCGCTCCTTATTGTGTATCAGCGCACCCGCGCTGTCTCTGATTGTCTCACTGACGCCTGGTATTCTGGGACCAGTGGTGCGGATTAGCTGGAAGAGCTTGCGGTAATTATCTACTGCTCCTGTCTCCTCCATTTCTTGAGCCCTACTAGTCCGCCAGGCTTCCTTGTCAGCACATAGCCTCTGCTTTAGTTCATGCTTAAAAGCCCGTCTGGTCACATTGTGTTCAGAGACTGCCGGGAGGTGTCTTCTAGATTCCAACAGGTACACCGACTTCTCGGATATTCAGTGACTGGTGCGGTGACGATGGATAGTGCCACAAGCAGATGCTCCTGCGCCGTGCATGGCGACCGAGATCCTATTCCACTGAAGCTCAGTGTCATCAGGACAAGACAGCGAAAGTTCGGTACGCAGTGTGTCTTGATAGGCTTGCCTGACCGAAGGCTGAGACGATTTCTCAGTTGCCAATGGGAAGAGACGCTTGGTGCACCTCCCGGTAAAGTTCATGGAGAAACGACAACGTACCAAGGCATGATCAGAGTCGACACAGGTACCCAAGTACGAGCGGAAATCCAGGATGGAACCACGCCATCTGTAACTTATGACTATGCGGTCAATTTGAGTCCATCGCTGGCCAGCTACAGGAGGACGCCAAATGGCACTTAGGCGTCCACTGTGTCTAAAAGCAGTGCTGCTAAGAAACAACCGCTGCTCCGCACACAGTTGCAGCAGACGTTAACCGTTGTCAGTCCGTCTGGAGTTAAGCCCACAAGTACCACCCAGCTGAGCTTCTGAAGTGCTCAGACGCCCTACTTGTGCGTTCATATCCCCTGCAAGTACTATAATATCTGAACTAGTAGCACTGCGTAGTAGCGCGTTCAGTTCGTCATAGAATGCGTTCCTGACAGCATTAGGACTGCAGTCAGTGGGAGCATAAACGGAAATCACAAATAAACAGCGTTTCGTGTTACTACGTGAATCCACCTTAGCTGATGTCGCCAAACGGGCTGCACATAAACGGCTGTTCACCGGAATCCAATCAACCAACGATGCCTCAGACTTAGAGCTTAGAATGACACCTACACCAGCTTGACCCGTGAGCGCTGCATCCGCGTCTCCGGATGCGTAAAACCAATAACGAGAGGATAAGTCGGGTGTAGTTAATTCAATAACCCCGTTAGGGTCATTGATCCTAGTTTCGGATAAACAACACACATCACAACCCAGTGTGTCCAAGGTGTGTGCGAGTGCAGCCTGGTGACCTGTTTGTCTTAAAGTGCGAGTGCTGAATGTCGCCATGGAAACGGGATAGCGCGGCCTTATAAAGGACTTTTGCCGATAGGCGTCCGATAGGTGCTGTGTGATGGTGGCTGCAGATGGTTCTACTCCAGTGGCACTTCGGTCGCTGTCAACTAAGCTGGAAATTATAGAAGGAAGGTTAGTAATGGGGGCCGGGATGGGAGTAAGAGAAATAGGTGGAAAAGAAAGAAGAGAGGCGCCAGCACTAGCATGTTTTCGCTTATCCGCCCTGCAGTATGCAGCAGATAAGGCGACCCTTGATAATCTGCGCAAAGTCCGATGCAAGATGAAGTATATGATCGATTAAAATGTCATCAATGTATGCGGGTTGAGATACTGCCAGGGCGCCCAGACCTAGACAGGAGGACGATTAGGGTCCTCATCTAAAACCTATGGCTCAAAAGCCTGTCCGCAAGGCAGCGGGGAGGTGGCAATGATTTAGTTTTGCAGAAATGCACGCCATCCCATTTCAAACCCGAACTTAGAGGATCAGATGACTGAGTTTGTCTGACCTCTCACCACTGACCAACCTGGTAGCAGCAGCTCTCAAGGTGCCCTGAGGCATCACCCAGTATAGCTCTATGATGTCTCCAGTTGTCCAGCAGCATGTCTTTTTACTAACACGTCCAAGAATGGCAGCTGACCATTGTTCTCCTCTTCTTTAGTGAAACCGATACCAGTAAATGTGTTGTTTATTAACTGATGTGTTTCTTCCAGTTTCGAGCGCTTTAGGCTGACAAAAGTATCGTCCACGTAGCGTAGCTAGAGTTTAGGTTTTGCGACCGGGAGTGCGGTTTCCTCCAATGCTTGCATCACCGCTTCGGCCACTAGTCCAGATATCGGTGAACCCATTGGCGTGCCTGTTATTTGTTCGTAGGTTTGGCCGTTGAAACTGAAGTGTGTCGTGAGGCATAAATCCAACAACTTCATCATGTGGATGGCATCTATTTTATTGTTCGTGTCTGAGGATCCGCGTTGGTCTAGTAGTGTTGCCATCGTTTGCTTCGCCAGCTTGGTGTTGATTGAAGTGAACAAAGCTGTTACGTCAAAGGAAACCACG